TTTTATATTTTTTTTTATATATATATATATATATATTCTGAGTTTTTTTGTTGGCAGATCTCACTGACACACTTGTACTCCTTACCCAGATGATGAACTGAAGTATTGCAAAAGAACTGATCCTTGATGATTTTTACTCATAACTCCATTTGCATGAATAACTTCCAGTCAGCACAGCCTCTTTTAACCTACCTTTCAGACAGCCATTACATATTTCATAATTCTTGTGTTAATTCCAATCATTTGCAGTTTATGTTGTATGTAGCTGTTTCACCTGTTTACTGGAATTTGTCTTCTCATGTTGGTGAAAGAAAAAGAAGGTTGTTTGCTTTTGACAGAATACAGTTGTTAGATTTAACCTGTCACTGTAGAGAAATATTGGTTTAGTGTAGCACATTTTGCCTTTGTCGTTCTGAGAGAACCCTTCTTAGGGATAAGGAAGCCTGATGGAGTTGTATGTCAAACCTAGCTCTCCGGCAATAATGGCATACTTTAGGTTTAGAAAATGATGATGTTGATAGTAGACAAGATGGATGTAGGACAGCTATTCATCAAGTCCTGCACTACTGTGACTAGAGGACACTAGATTTAAAATAGATGAGAGTACAAAAAGGTGTTAGTTTCATGGATAACAGGTCAATATATGTACATTAAAGAGAATCAGAAGTACCTAGTAGTATCTGTACTCTAGTGATTGTAAATGCTTGGGAACTGCAAAAAGTGACCAGGCTCATTTTTCCATTAACAGCAGCTTTTTTATATTGCCCGTTGGAGACCGAATTTTGCACTAGATTGACCATCAGTCTAATCCAGTCAGACATTTCTTGCATTCTTAGTTTCACTAGCATGTTTCTCAAAATACAGGACATGAATAGTATGTTTAATTAATAAGTAAATAATAATACGTTTATTAATAAGTAATAATGAGTTTTTTTACAAGCATCTTCATGTATATTGTAAAGGAATGAAAACTTGTTATTTGAATTTTCCAAAGTGGGAAACTGTGCCAGGACATGGACAAAAAAATTTGATTGATTGTCAGTAACAAAGAAATTGAAATGGGGACTCCTGACTGTCATTTCATCCTTTTCTCTTCTGCCTTATACTGTCTCATTTCCTTTAGCTATATGATTTCCTTTACTAAGATTATGGTGATACTGTCCTTTTGGATTTGTGGTTAACACTATGTGAAGGTAGTACTGGTATGTCCACGGGCTTAAGAGCCCCAAAGGGCGTGTGTGTGTATATATATATATATATATATGTAGACACTTAAATATGTCTATTGTTATTGAATTTGACTTTTCAGTTTGTAATTTTATGTTGTGTACTCATTGGAAAAATAGAGATTTTTAAACCAGCTTTTTACATTTTTATTATAGAAGGAGAAGTGTATACCTGGGGTCATAACGCTTATAGTCAGTTGGGCAATGGTACAACAAATCATGGTTTCATTCCCTGTCAAGTCTCTACTAACTTGGTGAACAAGAAAGTCATTGAAGTTGCCTGTGGCTCTCATCATTCTATGGTGTTAACATCTGACGGAGAGGTGAGAATAGCTGGAATAAATCTCTTTTCTCCTAATGAAATTCACGTATGTGAGAAACTGGAAACCATTCTGCACCTAGAGCATTAGACCTCACTTTTTGCTATCCTCATAGTGCTGATGCAGCAGAAATGTTTGATAAAAATGGAAAACCTGTTAGGGTCTGGCTGCTTTGAAGTGCATGCAGAACACTGATTTTTGTGCCACATCTGCTTATAATAGAAAATTATAGTTTCTTTGTAGAGGGCAGCCAGGTCCTTCCTATGCTATACTCTACTATAAATACTCAATAGTGGTAAAGCTGGTATTGATATAAATCATGTTCACATAAGGAGTTCTACCCACTAAAGTAAAAAGTTTTCTGTCGTTTACTTTGAGATGCCATTTGTGTTCAGTTAGCCATTCTGCTTTGGGTTCTGGAAAACTAGCCATGGATTCTTCCAGCATTAATGCAGCTGTCATCTTGCCTCTTAGCTTTGATTGGAGGAACATGAAGGAATGGAATATATAAATATTATGAGTGGCATATTTTTGATAGAAACAGTTAAATTGTAAACCTATGTATCTTCCCAGCTCTTTAAAAGAACACATCCACTTGAACTCAAAGCATAATTTTTTAATGCATATAACTTTTTCTCTTGAATATGTACTTTGAACTGTATGTTATATAGCCTTCTTTTATGACAATTCTCTTACAACAGGTATACACGTGGGGTTATAATAACTCAGGCCAAGTTGGATCTGGCTCAACAGCTAATCAACCAATTCCTCGAAGAGTTACCAGCTGCCTACAAAATAAAATAGTAGTTAATATAGCTTGTGGACAGATGTGCTCTATGGCTGTGGTGGAAAATGGAGAAGTAAGGAATTTCTAAGTGAATTTTCTGACTGAATTTTATTTTATGTAATATCATGGGATGTAGAGAATTCCAAACCTGTCAGTAATGAGCTAATACTCAGAAAAGAAGTATACCTTTCCAGACTGCCTCAAATCTACTTGCTTATACTGCTTGTAAAAACCTTTGTCATAAATTGTCCTGCACTTTCTGACATACTTAAGCTCATCTTCCTGTCCATGCTGATTATGGTTTCTTCTTCAGAAAGAAGGTAGAGTGAAACAGGGAAAACTTGTTCACTAACATTTAGTTTATGGCTTTTTGGTTGATGAGATTACTCATTAAATTTAGCAGCCGTTACTTTGTATGAACTACTGAAGTTGGCTTTGAGTTGAAGGAATTCAAGTGTCAAATTTCAAGTTTACTTGAAAATACCGTTCTGAAGAAAAAATGGCATTGTGAAGGTCAGGAGATTTTGATAAACTTTGGGATAAAATCATATGAAATCTATAGATATATACTTAGCATTTCATTCTAGCTTCATTTTCTCATATTTAAAAATAACTAAGCTTGTATCACTGATTCACTGGTGTTTAGAGCTGGTATTATATTCTAGCAAAAGCAAAAGTGCTGATTAATACGTTATCCCACTGCTGTCTTTGACATTCACAGAAAAATGAATTATTGTCTATACTAGAATCTTAAATATCAAGAGTGTGAGAATAAGCAGTGAATGCTATTTTAATTTTCAGTGCTCATATATGCCCAATTTATCTCAAGAAAAAACAGAGAAAATACAAGTACATGGCATGTATTTGTTCTACTGCAGTACCCTTGAGTCCCTCTCGTACTTTTTTTATGCTCATTGCAAAGATATGAAGAGGTTGTAGCGTTCTTCTTGTCATAGTTCATATGAGCTGAAGATTTTGGACAGCTTGCATCCTATTTAGTTCCATGGCATTTCAGTTTAGACCTAAGTAGCTGTTGACTGCAGTAGAACATATGTCACTGAAATTATCAGAGCTTAGTAGTTTCCCTTTTTCTTATGTTCAGCATGAAGCTGTTAACAGCTTACTCAAACTGTTGTGCATATCTTCCAGTTTATACTTGTTTTGGTGTGTTTTCTGTTAGAGGACTTTTGAATGAGAAATTAGCTCTTTGAAAAAGGGAAGTATTCATGCTGAATTTGCTCTGTGCTGCGAAACAGCCATATGAATCACTTATTTTCTACTCCTCATATTAAAACATTGTAGTCTTACATAATCTAACTCTTAAAGAGCAACATGAATATGGAAGTTTAGAATTTTAGGTGGGCATGCAGTTGGTATTTTAAACAGAAATAGCATCCAAATTTTGCAGTGCAGAAAAACATATATATGTGTGTGTGTGTATACAGATGTATGTATATATGTATGTTTATATAGGTATGTGTATATATGTGTATCTACATGTAAAGTACAGATCCTAAGGTGTGGGGACAGGAAATAATGAAGAAAATGATCATTGTAACTCTGAAGTAGTTATATTGCTTTCAAAAGAAGTGGGTAGCAGCAAACAGTTAAAATCCCTGTCTGTTTTTAAGGTCTATGTCTGGGGTTACAATGGTAATGGCCAGCTTGGACTGGGCAGCAGCGGCAATCAGCCAACACCGTGCCGAATAGCAGCTTTGCAAGGCATTCGTGTGCAGCGGGTACGTGTGTGATGCTCCATGTCAAACCCTTTATGAACAACTGAAAATACGCTGAGGCATAGCCTACTTTTAAAGGAGATAGATCGTCTTTTAGCATTTTTGTTTAAAGTGCCATTTATCAGAATAAAGTCTTGTATCTTAAAACGGACCTCCTTCAGTAGGGGAGAAACTGTGACCCTGTGGAGTCCAGCGGGAATTTTCCTATTGACTTAGTGAGGCCAGGATTTTACTGAAAGAGAACTAGGCCATTAGAAATGTTTGGTCTTTTTTTTTTTTTTTTCCTGTGAAACTTAATAAAAACAATTTTCTTGTTATCTTGGTGAATTAGGAAGTCTTCATAGGCTGCCCCACTCTTCATTAACCCTTGTCTTCTTTTCTGGGAAAATGCTGCAGTTTAGCATTTCGTCTTTCTGGCAGACCGAATATCACTTTTACAATAGCAATCCAGCCACAATGACTAACTGGTGTGTTAAGTCTGAACGAATCATCTCCAACTACTTTTGGTCAACAGTTGGTATGATTCCATGGTTAGTCTTGATTTTGGGTGGTTATTACACTTTACCAAATAGCTGGGCTGCCATTGGTGTAACTAGCAAACTGGTAACATCTTTTGACTGTTAAGAAATATTTAAAGTAACTGCAGAACTGATACTGAAAGGGTTTTTTATTGATTTGTCTAAAATAGAGAATACTGTCAGGAAAATGACACATTCTGTTAGAAAACATTGGTTTTGTAACCTAGTGAAAATTTACAAGAGTGTTTTGAACTTTGCATCCTGTTTACTCAGGGAAGTTATGGATTTTATGAATCTTTTAAAATGAACCCATTTAATTACATAGTTTTACATTCAGTTCCTAGGATGTAGACAGTAGCTTTGCTGGTAATGATTGCTGTTGGAGAATAATGTAATAAAGTGAATGTTATTATCCCCTGTATTTATTCTTCTGTTTAGAGAGTGTGAGTGCTCCAGTAAGTTTGACTTAGATCCTATTTCCATACACATAATTTGCTTGAAACCGGTTAACATGGTTGGTAGACCTCCAATTAGTAAATAACTTAAGGATTTATTTCATTTAAAGCACACCACATGCTTCATGGATGTCAGTGGACTGCAGGTACTTATGGTGTATCTGCTTTGCAGATTATATGAAGATCCGTGACCTAGTTTTTAACAATTTAAATTGGCTATTGATAGCTGCTTAACTATAATAGGTTACATAAATTCATGCAAAGCAAGGCTGTTGCCGGTAATTTTGCCACCGTGTATCTGTATGTGCAGCATGTGCTGCATTTATAGATTGTAAAGCGGATATTCAGGCAACCTTATGTGGGGTACTTTATGTGAGAAGGCAGCTCAGCAGGATGGAGTGGGTTTCCACAAGAGGGTATGAGCTGGTACAGTTGTGTGCTGCCATCAAGATTGAGAATTTCATCTTTTCCCTCTCTTTCCTGGCTGGCTGCTCCTGTTACTTACCCGGTGTGGGCACTGGTGGCCCTGAGGCCCAGCTGTGGAGTTTTCTTCCAGTGATGTAAATTATCATAGAATAGTTTGGGTTGGGAGGGATCTTTAAAGTTCACCTAGTCCAACACCCAAATTATCTCAGCAGAGGGTCCAGTGAGCACTAGAGCTGGCACAGGGAGGGGGCAGCAGTGTGTGGCTGGCAGTGGGGGAGGAGAGGAGTAGATAGGGAGACCTTGCCTGTTTTTTCAACGGTGAGCTATTCATGTTGAGTAGTTGCCCATGGAGCAAGGTTAATGCAAGACAGATCTGCCTTTTTCTGCATTTTTTTTCTGCATGCTGTTCATACTTGTCATATAGCTTTCCTTCTTTCTCAATTTCTAGCTATTCTTTCACTGTATTCTTGAAATTATCTGGCTGGGTTCCTCACTGATACATTTTTTTCCTCAAAGTCACCTCATCTGCTTTGCTTCACTTTTTAATAAACTTACCTGTATTTGTAATTTTTGTAACTTTTGCACTGGTATAGAATCAATAACAATAATGTATAGCATAACATGTATCTATCTGTATGAATTTACATCAAAATGATTTTTTTTTGTTTTTATTATTCCTTATAGGTTGCCTGCGGCTATGCACATACATTGGTGCTAACAGATGAAGGTCAGATTTATGCCTGGGGAGCCAATTCATATGGCCAGTTAGGTACTGGGAATAAAAGTAACCAGTCTTACCCTACAACAGTTATTGTGGATAAGGACAGGTAATACTTAACTGTCTCACAGTCAGACATTATTTGGCATACTCTCAGAAGAGCTACAGAAAACTTATGGCATTTTAAATCTGTTTTTTGGAAGAAATAGGCTATAATTTTTTGCAATGGTTCTTCTGCTAAATACGAACAGAATTTTCACTGAAAGTGCTTGAATCTGCTCTATAACCATACATGTGAAAGAGAAACTGAATATTTGAGCCTGAATGTGCTATTTGCTGCTTCAGCTCACACTGTGCTTTATAGGCCTTAGTTACAGTTTCTCTTCAGTGGTGTAGTTTCATTGTTTGAAGTCGCCAGTAAAAGCTTTATTGTCTCTTTAATATGCTACTTTTGACAAGAAGTACGCACAGAAAAAGTAACGAGTGGACATCTGCAATTTCTGTTATTTCTGCTATTAAATCTGGCTCATAACCCAGGAGAGAGAGAAAGGGAGGAGTTCTTGCTTGGTATTGTTTTCTGAAAATTAGATTTTTACTAGTTAATTATTTTTCTGTAAGTCCTTGATGGGTAGTGGGGCAGTTATTTCTATTGCTAGTGTAAAGCCTTGTATATGTTTAGCCGGAAATTTGAATCTGGTCTTTATTACTGAGGTCTTGATTTTGGCCTTGTGTTGTGAATAATAAGAAAAGTGAGATGTCCCTCTTAAACTTGTATCTGTGTACATTATTATAAGGAAGAGGCAACTCCTTTCTGGTGATGAGACATGGCCTGTTTTTGAATGTTGCTATTTTTTTATGTGTGTTTGTGCTTAAGGTACTTTGCTTAAAATGCAACTGATTTTTTTCCAGATGCTTTGGCTGCAGTTAAAATGTTCCCACCTTTTAATACAAGTTTTAATGTTGTGTGCTGCCTTTCCCTTTTGTTGGCCAGAATATGCATTCCTGGTGTGAGTGAGAACGTTACCTCACTAAAGCCTGTAAGATTTGTACATACAGTGTTAAACAAGTTGTTTCCCAGCTATTTCCCTCAAGCAGCTGGGAAAACAAGTAAACAAGCAGTAGTTCAGGCTGCAAAACAGTGGATTGTGTAATGTTGAGTTTTGAAATCCTAAATCAACTTCGGGATTAGGAAGATAGCCTAACATTGCTAAGATACACTTAGAAACAGCTTTTAGTGCTGTTGGTTCTGATTTTTAATTTTCGAAATGAAAGTCTGTTAAACCTAAGTAGTAATAGTTGTATGATTAATGACACTTCAGTGTTTTAATTGAGAGGTATGTTTAAATTGTTGGTTTATAACTGTTACCAATAAGCAAGCAGGAAAAAGTTTTTCATTAACTTTTCAGTTATAAGCCAAAATGCAAATTCCTTTTTCAAATGACTCCTCATTTCCTTCTTCATCTTCTCCAAGTACCCGTTCTCTACAGCTTAACTCACCTCACTGCCCAGCACCACCAAAGGCTTTCAGAGACTTGAGACTCGTCATAGCTTTGTTTGAGGGAGCCGAGGGGGTCAGTGAAGCATGTGCTGCAGCAGATAATACTGCTCTGCTGCAGCAGTGTCTCCTCGCTCCCAAGATGCTTTTTCACTGAGAAACTTTCCAAATGCACGCTATTTGAAGAAACATTTATACCCCTTTTAATTTTGCTACGTATGATTGGAAAACTTTCTTGCAATTGGAAGTACATGCGTGCTTCAGATAGCTTTTGCACCAGAGGAAGACAGGAGGTAGTGAGCTGCTGCGCTGCATTTTGTTCTTATGAGAGTGACTCGCTTTTTTTTTTTCTTTGTTTGCTTGTAAATTCAGAGTTATAGAGATCGCAGCCTGCCACTCTGCTCACACGTCGGCTGCCAAGACCCAGAGCGGCCAGGTGTACATGTGGGGCCAGTGCCGTGGGCAGTCCGTGATCCTTCCCCACCTCACTCACTTTGCCTGCACTGACGATGTGTTTGCTTGCTTTGCTACCCCTGCTGTTATGTGGCGTCTTCTGTCAGTAGGTGAGCTAAAATTTTTTTTTTTTTTTACATCTTCTTAATAGAATCTTAGTGCATAAAACAGTTGCATGTGTTTGAAGCCTAAACTTAGTTTCTTGCAAAAATTTATACTGGGAAGCATAATCATATATTACATTGTGGAAATGGTAATATGGAATTGTAAAAATTGCTGAGTCCCGATGGCAGTGCTAAATGATGTTTTATTGATGTGGTTTATTTCTGCAGGGAAATGCCTTGGGTTTGGGGAGAGGGTTTTTTTTGTGTTACCACTGAATGTTACTGTACAATGGCCATGGGTGGAGAAGCTGAGTTTGAATTTATAGACTTGAGGAAGCCATGCAGAACATTTAGGAACCCTGAAGCTTTCTTTGATGCCTTTAAGTAGGCTACTAAGAATGGAGGGAGCTAAATTCCCATGTTCAGAATTGGCCACAGGCACTTAAAGTCTTATCACAAGTGACCATGACCTGGGCTTCTGAAGAGAGAAGTTGCTGGATCTCAGATAGTTGAGTAACATTAAGATCTGTCTTGCTGGCCTTAACTAGGAAGAATTAAGTATATAGCATTGTCTAACAGAGAGCTCAGTTATCAGCTACAAATTCAATTCCATATTGGCTGCTAATAAAGTTATTAGCTTTGCTGACCTAATCAAAGATGAGACTCTTGGGGTTGTCTGTAGGTGTCACCTGGGAGCTTTAGCTAAAAGCTAGAATGCAGCAACGTGTTAAGTTGTAATTTGAAGTCTGCTGAGTCCATTGTGCTTCCATTCCACTTTTGTACTGCCTTGATAATTGCTTTTGTGTTGCTGTATGCTTTTGTCTGACAACTGTAGAACACTCTTTGCTCCCTTGGTGCCTTCTGAATGCAGAGGTGAGGAAAATCTGTTAATAGTGCTCATACATCAGCTTTGAGAGTCTAGAGGATTAAATGGAGAATCCTCTTCTCAGGAAGCTGCTTTGCCAAAATTAATGTTTTAGGGCACAGTCCAAAGACCCCCATTTTCTCTAGGTTGAGGCATTTGTGCTTTCTAGGGTGGCTTGTTCAGAACTGTAAGATACATGCTTAATTACTGTGGAAATTCTTAATATTCCTAATATCTGCCTACTACTAATTAGATGTAAATTGTGTTACTGCACTAAAATCCCAGGCAATGGGGTGGTTCATTCACAGAATCACAGAATGGCAGGCATTGGAAGGGACCTCTGGAGATCATCTAGTCCAACGCCCCTGCTAAAGCAGGATCACCTACAACAGGTTACACAGGACTGCATCCAGGTGGGTTTTGAATATCTCCAGAGAAGGAGACTCCACAACCTCCCTGGGCAGCCTGTTCCAGTGCTCTGTTGCCCTTAATGTAAAGAAGTTTTTCATGTTCAGGCGGAACTTCCTGTGCTCCAGTTTGTGCCCGTTGCCCCTTGTCCTCTTGCTGGACACCACTGAAAGAGTCTGGCCCCATCCTCTTGACTCCCACTCTTTATATCTTTAGATCCCCTCTCAGTCTTCTCCAGGCTAAAGAGCCCCAGGTCTCTCAGCCTTTCCTCCTAAGAGAGATACTTCAGTCCCCTCATCATCTTCGTAGCCCTCTGCTGGACTCTCTCCAGTAGTTCCCTGTTTCTTGAACTAGGGGGCCCAGAACTGAACACAGCACTCCAGA